CTTGTAGGGTACGAGCCGTACCCACCGGCAACACGACCACACCGATATTGGCTACACTCCCAATGTGTTGCCTACAAATCCGAAGAGACAGAGGCGTCGAGAGATCCTTACACTTCTAGGATTTAGTTGGTTATATCGAACTTATGTTGAACGAATATTATCGTTGGAAACTTACAGACTCATGAACCAATGAAAATATTATGTGGCAACTTGTCAACTTGCGCACGAACTTCATTTATTTGCTTTATATTCGTTTCAATGCGTCGCGACAACACTTGTAGTTGTTTACAGCACCGACAGCAGCTCCCGTTCAATTGCAATTGAGGATGGTCGGCTTCTGTCTGCGTCCAAGTCCTGCCGCGCCGAGGGCCTTGGCACGTCAGTGCCGCGCCGTGGGCTATGGCGCGGCAGATCCTGCCACGTCACCGGTCAGCGCCCCGGTCGTCGCCACGTCATCCCTCTCGCGCGCGCCACCATGCATGGCGCGGCACAGGCGTTTTGCCGCGCCAGGGAAATAGGCGCGAACAAAAATATTAGTTTTGAAAAAAATAAATAAAACAATGTTAGATTTAAAATTAGTTAAAAAAATGTTAAAAAAATCGCCGGTGCCAATCTGTAAGGGTAGGCAACTCGGACTAGTGTAGACCTGCTGCTGCAAATGCCGCGCCGGTCCCTCACCACAGAACCGTTTATCGGTAGGTTTTGCTAGCCCGGGCCCGGGGGATTGGCTGAACCGTGCTAATCACATCGTACGAAAAGAAAGGTTGAACCTGAGACCATGCTCTGCGGCTGCCTGCCGGTTGCCGGTTGCCGGCTGCAACTCTCCTTCGCACGGAACACAATGACCCAGTACGTGTATACTCGGGGAGTATTCTTCAGGAATGGCCACCCAAACAACAACGAACACAAAGTCGTGCCGATGAGTCAGTCGGATGACGTGAGCAACGCATACCACCCCTACCACCACAGTTTTCGGTGGAAAAAAAAACAAGGACACCGCTGCACCGGCAACGGATCCCCAGCTATCCGTCAGCGCAAGCGCCGCCGCACTCGTCAGCCGCACGGCCACGCCCGCGCGCAACCAGCCGCGCAGGAGGGGCGACCTCACCTGCCGTTCCTCCACCGGTCGGTCGGTCGGCCCGCGCCTGCCTACGTCCTCGCCGGCCGGGTAGTACCTACCAGTTCCGTCCCGTCAGACCGTCACCCCCATCTCGTGAGTCTGCGCGTCGCATCGCATGGCGTTTTGCCCAGGCAAGGCAAGCAAAGCGTGCAATCGCTACCGGCCGCTTTGGCCCACCAAGATCCGGAGGAGCGCGGCGGCGTGATATTCGCCTGATGGCTGGGCTTATAAGCCGTACTTTTCACTCAATGAACAATATTTTTTTTTATAATAAATTAGTCAATAATACTTTCAGCCACGACTTATCAGCCAAACGAACGTGGCAGTTCCCGCGCCGGAATGGCACCAAGCGGCGAGATCCCATTCCCCCACCCGCGCGCTTTTCCGCTTCCGCCGTGGCCACCTCCCCAGGTCTCGCACGGCCAACCCAACCCATGCCAACCGATCCGAGCGCCCCACCAGGCAGGGTCCGTCGCGGTCGGCGTACGGCGCGTCGGCGCCCCACGGCCGGGCATAGTAACCGCGCGACAACAACGTGGATTGGAGGCTCGACCAGGACAGGGAGCATCGCGGCTGATCCACACGCTGGCTGCGGTCTAATTGGGGCACCGCCCTCTCTAGGACCAAAGAGACGGCCGCGACTACTGGCTTTCGGTTCGTTGGTGTGGATTGCGGTACCACGCAGAGAAGCAATTCATTGTGTGGATTGTGGAGTCGTGGAGATACATGCTGATGTGGCTGACGATATGGCTAAGCAGTACTGCATTAACTAACGACCACGACATGGGCGAGCATGAGGGTTGTTTTGAGGATAACCTTTAACACCAGTGCGGGTTGTGGTTTTGAAAGTTACAGTCTATCAAAACATGTAAGTACTCCCTTCGTCCAAAAAGAGTGATGTTCTGGATTTTTCGAACCGATTAGTGGAGAAGAGAAATGTCCTTAATACTCTTAGCATGTCACACATGATTCTCTTAAAAGAAGGAATATCGCATGATTTACTTCCTAATTAAGAAGCGCTGTATGTAATCATGCAGAGATCCGAGGTAGGTAACAATCAATAGTTCATCTCAATTGGTAATATAGCACCGAATCGTGGACCAACACCTTGTCTAAAACTCAGAACATTATTTTTTTTTTATAAATTTTAAATCACAGGACATCACTTTTTTTGAACAGAGGGAGTAAGATTTTACAAAGTTTTTACTACAATACAGCTACCGGCTTGTGATCGAGAGGCAAAAGAAAAAAAAACAAAAAGATCTAGCTCATCTTTACACAATCTAAACAAGCCGCAACCACCTTTTAACAATCTTGCTGCTGCCTCTCCATTGCTAAAAAAACTTAAAAAAGAGCTATAGAAATTATGCAGGTTTTTGTGGACTTCTTCATCTCTACTATAAGCGATCAATCTAAACTATTTCAGGTACATCAAACAATATGTCCCCCGCTGAGGGAGCCAATCATTGTGCACCAATGAAATTGCACCCAAGATTTTAACATCATTAAAATCTATGGCTCCTAATCCTCCCTCACAGGCTTCAACTCGATCCGATGGCGAACGTTATTTGGATCTCCCCATCCTCTAGGCTTCAACGCACAATCAGGTGGAAACAAAATCACCGTCGCACGCGTCTCCGCTCCCCTCCCCCGCAAGGCCGCAACCCCTCCCCGAAATCACGCACGAGCGGGGAAACAAATTCCCGTCAATCACGATCACGCCCGCATCTCCCCCTCCACCCAAGGCCACAAGCCCGCAACCCCTACCCACAATCACGCACACGTGGAAAAAATATATCCCGATCAATCACGATCACGCCCACGCCCCTCGACGCCTCGACGCCACTGGTCACGACGCCGCCGGATGCGCCACCGCCTCCAAGCTTGCCGGAAACACCGCCCGACTTGCCCTGCCGAGCGGCTCGTATTGTCGATGTCCAAGACGCGGTCTGGTGCCTCTCTATCCCGACATAGCTAACACCGTGAGTTGGTGTGCAATCTATGCTTGCCGTTGCTGATCTCCAATCCATCGCTAAGTGTCAATTGACCGAGAGACAGCTTGCCATGGAGCTTGCCGCCGCCGCGTTGCTCGCCGTGGAGCCTGCCGCCGGAGGGCTCCTAACCGTCAGATCCACGGATCCACCGCCACCAGGATCCAACCCACCGGATCCGCCGCCGGAGGACACCTCTCCGTCGGATCCGCGCCGTGGTGGCTCCATCCCACCGGATCCGCGATGCCACCCGCCGGTGGAGCCATGGAGGGAGGGGAGGAGGGCAGATCTGCACCGCCACCCGCTGCTGCTGTTGCTCTGCATCGTCGGGAGGGGCCGAGCCGCCCTGCGCCATAGACGGGGGGCTGGGCTGCCTCGCGCGCGGCCGTGAAGCCACCAAGCGCTGCCACCGCCCTGCGCCGACGAGCCGAACCGCGCTGCTCCCTTGCTTCCCCCTTCTCCCTCCGCTCCGCATCTCTGATCTGCTCTCCCTTTCTCCCCCAGCTCTGCCCTACCCTCTTCTCCCTTGCTGCTGCACGTGGACAACAGGGAAGGACGGAAGATGTCGTCCGCCGCGCCTTGCCTTGCTCCGTCGTGCCGCAGCAAGCACTGCTGCCGCCCCTGCTCTGCTTCCCCGCTCTGCTCTCGCCCTCTTGCACGCCAAGCGCCGCTGCCATAGACTGCCCCGGTCGGCTTGCCGCGCCCGGGACCGCCGCCTTGCCTTTCTATGCCGGCGCCATGCACTTCCGCCTCGCCCTGCTTGCTTTCTCCTTGCCGTCTCCCTCTCTCTCTTTCTCCCGCTCTCTGTTCTCTCTTTTTCTCTCTCTAAAGTCGGTGCACGTGGATGGGAAGGGATGAGGCAGCACCGAAGGCACCCAATGACCAGCTCCCAACCACGTCACAACAACCAATAGGAGCCGACCACTTCGCCCATGGACCTCGCACGTCATTGGCTCTGCTTACCTCTCCTCCTTTCTGTAGACATTGCCCCCTCTTTACTGATTCAGTTTTTTTATCTAGCAAGCATTTGACAAAATTTAAATTTGCACGCTGCCAGCGTGACGCAGTGCTCCATCTGATCCCTTAGTGAAGCCGCACCGACCATCATCACGTGCAGACGTGCATCTTGAATAGAACGCAATGCTCGATCTGATCCCTGGTGAAGCCGCGCAGGCCATCATCACGTGCGGATGTGCATCTGAATAGAAAGGCACCAGAGCAGCCATCGACGCCCAAGATCTTCATTTTTTGTAAAGCCTTGATCTTCAGTTATATAGCAGCATTTTTTATTCTAATGGTGGAATTGTTTTTAGTCACTTGCTTGCATCCTTACAAGTTTTGAAAGAGGTATTTAATTTTATTACCGCGCACGCGGCTGGTGTGTTCTAATCATTGTTTGAATGCTTGAATTGGATGTGTTTTAATTCTCCATGGCTGTTCTTCTGAGAGAGCACAGGATGGGTTCAGAAAGAAGATGGAGCTAAGTAGCCGTTGCTGAGTCTTTGTCGTGCTGTTCCGTGCCACTGCACGCTGACGGGGTGACGAAGGGCTCGATCCCTGGGTGAAGCCGCCACCGCATCAGGTGCGCGCGGACGCTAAGCAGGCACTGCCGAATAGCCATGAAGAACAATTAACATCAAGGTAACTTTATGCTAAAATTATGCTTCGTCAAACTGAAGTTTTCCATCAAAATTCATAAAAAATGTTATTTGCAAAAGCAGGTATTTGACAATGTCTATGCCAAAAGATACACGCACTGCGCTAGGCGATATCACCAACAACCACATCACAGATATGCTTTAGATTTTTGATATGTATACAACAGTGCAATCAAATACTTCAGGCAATATGTTGCTGATTTCCTATATGTATGTCGGCTACTCTAGACAATGCCAAGCGTAAAAAGGGAGGAAAGGAACGCGGCGCAACGAAAATGTCGAGCTGAGATGTCCATTGAACAAAGGGAAGAGATTAATAGGAAACAACAAGAGTACCGAGCACGGAAAAAGGCTGCAACCCAAAATATTACCACTTCCTGTGTTGTGTCTCCAACAGAGCTAACATCGTCACCCATAGTAGGTGCGTAATCTCGGCGATGCTAATATTTACACCTTCAGCTATCATTCACTCTGACTAAACTCTGTTCACATGTGAAGGTGCGACATCAACCCTAACTGAGCACACACCATTTGGAACTGCTTTCTCTGCCATTGTGCAAGCACCGAGCATAGAGAATGATGAAAATGTCCATCTAGATGAGCCCACAGAATGGCTACATAGAAATGATAATTACGAATGTCGGAGTGGCAGCGCAGATACATTTCGTTTGGTACCAGCTATATGCATAAAAGGAGCCTCAGCCAGTGCATCTCAAGGTGCAACACATTAGTTTTGTTCCCAACCTCACTATAAGTTTGTTTAATACTTTAAAATGTAAAGTACACAGATTAAATAAATTATACTATGACCTTGGTGGTTCATCCGATGAGGGATAATTTGCTAAGAAATAGGGAAAGATATAACAATATGGATGCACAAAAGAAGGAGGACTTGCTACAAGCGGAATCGGGGCTACAAGATGCATAGAGCAATGACAGTCAAACACAGGAACCACATAATTTCTCTGAAATGTAACACATTTCGATAGCTACTGTAGTTTGCATATAATAAGGTGTTATTTTAATTTGCAGATGATAATTTGCCTAGGCCACGCCACAACCATGTACAAGGTGAAACCAATGAAGATGAATTTGACCGTGAATTATTCGAACCTACAAATATTGTTGAAGGCGGTGAAGAAGATGACATGAAGCGCCGCCGAGGATTTACTGGCGAAAACTTATATGCTCATGATGATGGAATAATTCAGCTACATCCGAGAGGTACTATGACTTCATAATATATACGTCATGTCAAAAAAAACCAGCTTATATACGTCTTTATATAATATTTACATCATCACATATAATATTTCCAGCGCAACTAATATGATTACTATAATGTTTCCCATGCAGGTCCTAATTATGAGTCATATCGCGTGCTTGTAGAGGGTGCGGCTGCACATAGTGTGACGGATGATCCATATGAATTCATCTACCAGAACCTGCCACAAAGACATAGGTTGAGAAATGTCCCTGACTGCAATTACTGTGGTGCGATGAGGTTTCAGTATGAGCCACCCGGGTTTTGTTGTAGAAAAGGAAAAATAAAAATACATATATCGGAGGTTCCTGCAGAGCTAAAAAGGTTGTTTATAAGTCAAGTGCATGATGATGCAAAATATTTCTAGCAACATATATGATATCTCAACTCGCATTTCGTATTCACAAGCCTAGGGGTTACCCTTGACCGCAGATGTAACACTCCAGTAGGGACCGGTATTTATACATTTTGAGTTCATGGCGGGTTGTACCATCGTCTAGGTCACCTGGTGTAACACCCTAGGTGTTTGGCTTCCACAAAAATTGCATTTCATTTCATAAACATATGCATCATCTATGTCATCATGCCATTGTCACTGAAACATACATATGCAACATTCACAAATTCTGTTTGTTTCATACTTGGTTGCTTATGAATGGTAGTAGTGCAACATGTGAATGCAACATGAGTTTCTTATACCTTGAAACATGGCAACATGGTAGTAATATGACAAGTATAAAATAACAACAAAGTCATGAAACATGTGAAACATTGCATTGCAACATTTGGGTGAATTGCTTGTTTTGTTGTTTCATCACATGTGATCATTTGACATGGGTATAGCACTTATGTAAAGTGGTTGATTATGGTCTAATACACCTTAACTACACTTAGGGTAATTGTTTGGACACTGTTCATGTGGACCAAAATGACCAAATTGCCCTTTTTGGAGAGGTTTGACTTGAATTGACCCTTAGAGTGCCACTGTTTGACTGATTCAAAAGATTACCTTAGAGACCTTGCATGGCTGTGCACTCTTTACCAAAGTTGTAGCTAATTTACCAAGGAACAAAAGTTGTTTTATGACCAACTCATGAAAATGGCTAGAACATGTTCAAACAAGGCCCACAAGTCAAATTTCCCTGCTGATTTCATACTTAGAATTTTTCTAAGTCTTTAAGGCGAGTTACAGTTTCGTGTACCAATGTTTGGAGACTTGTATCTCCCTAACCAGGCCGAACCAACTCGAGCTCCAATTGAATAAGCTGTAGTACTCACTTCGATCTTCAATTTTGTTAACTACACCATGAATCAGATCGTCACCATTTGGGAGTTATGGACCATCGAATTCACGCTGTCAGTCGTGCCATCGGGCGTCGTTTCAGTCCATTTTCAGAAAACCGACAGAGCCGCCGTGGTCGACCGGCGCAGGAGCTGCTCGCCGCGTGGCGCGCATGCTCTGCCGAAGTCTCCACATCGCGCGTCCGAGCTCCAGATGAAGGCTAACGTCTCGCCACTCGCTCGCTCACTTGCCATTTCGCTCTGCCATCTCCTTCCTCCGCGAGAGCACGGCGACCGGGACGCCGTAGCAGCCGCCGAGCCAAATCCTCCAACACCGAGCGCCTTGGTCCGATTCATCCTAGCCACAGCACCACCGTGAGCTTCTCTACGTCTGTGACCCCACCGCCATTCCATTTTCGACTCAGGTAGACCTCCCCGTGAGTGCGGCTCCACCGGGTCGCCATGACCGCCGCCGGCCGAGCTCGCACGTGGCCATGCTGCTTGAGCCCCTTGCCGTCCCTTCTCTTCCTTGCGCTAGCTGCTGCGTGTGCTACTGATGCTTGGAGAGCAAGCCATTAGGGCCGAGACGCCGTCGTCTCGCTGGAGCCGGCCATGCCGTGGCCGTGCGCCGCCATGGTCGTCGCCATTGCCAGTAGCCGCAGCAATAGCTTCGATTGAGAGCACCGCTAGATGTGGACGGGCGAGGAGAACATCGTAGTATCGCTGGACTCGCCGGAGAGGCCACCGGCGACGAGCTACGCCGCCATCCGTTCCTCCTCCCCTACCTGTCTCTCTATCGCGTGGGTCCCGCGCGTCAGTCGCTGAGGCTCAGGCGGGAGCCAGCGTGGGCTGCGTCGCATTTGGGCTGCGCCAGCGCGTGTTGTGTGAGCCGCCGAGTCTGACTGGGCCAGCCCAGTAGCTGAGATAGGTTTTCTTATTTGTGTTTTGTTTTATTCTTTTCACTGATTTGTGTATATATTCAAAATTATGTATCTCCTAGTTGGTAAATCCAAATGATGTGGTTCCAATTTTGTTGAGTTCATGATATTGTCTAGTTTATAGTAAAAATATGATTTATGCCACGTTCTGTTATGAAAATGGGAGTTTCTATTTATCTCTTTTAATCATGGAAGGAATAGGGATAATTATATCTTTTTCTATGTAGCTCCAAATAGCATGAAATTTTTATGGTGTACTGCTCATATCATGAATAGCTTGTAGTTAAATTTTCATATATTTTGGACACTGTATGTAGGAGATATAAAATTATCTTATTTGCATGGTTGGATCTTGTGTGAATTTTCATAATTTTTCTATAGATCCAGTAAGGGTAAAATTTGGTGAGTGCTGTTCTTATGCTAGAATGATGCTAGGAAAAATGATAAATATGTTGCTTGACACTTTTCAATAGGGTTTCCTAATTATGCTAAAAATAGACATGCCACCTGTTATTTTGGATACAGCAAGTTCTGCTTGCCTAATGGCTTTGAAATTTTTATGGTAGTCTATGTGAAGCATGAGATAGCTACTGTAATTTTTGTAGATTTTTCTGAATAGTTTTACTATATATTTCTTTAATCACCTAATTAACTAAATAAATTAGAAAATGACATTAAATAATTTATTTAGAGGTTGGCACTATACTTTCTGATATTCCTTTGGTATGTGCAACAAATTGGTAAACTTGGTTTGGTCCAATTAGGCTTTTGCATCATCACTAAATATTTAATTTAGCGACCCTGTCGTTTCTGGATAGATTCTAGGTTTACTGGAATTCGATTTGGTTAACGTAAGAATCATGCTTTGAAGTTTACAAATAATTTGTAGAGAATTTCATAAGCTTTCCAGAATGTCCTCTTGCAAGTCATTTAAATTTATAGAACTCTGGTTATGATTAAATTAAGGAACTTCCCGTGTGCATATGAAACTTTAACTGTTGTTTTAAGTATGCCTTACTATTTCTAAGTTTGTGGTAATGTTCCTAGGTGTTAGGCCTTTAACTGAAGATGAGCATCTTTATCTTAGGTTATGCAAGTTAGGTAAGTTGATCTCGTTCTTCAAGTTAAGTTGGATACACGTTTTAAATTGATTTGAATAGAGCTATTCTTAATCGGTAAACGAGTGTTCAGTGATGTTTTCGTTAAACACTTACTGTGATTCATTCATCATGAGCATCATGTCATTCCTTATGCATCCATGATATTTATCTTGTGCATCGGCATGCAATAGGTGTACCGGAAGGAGTGACCCTATTGGAATTCGAGGAACCGAGCGAGCAGCAGCAGCCGACACCGGAGATTCAGGAGGAGCAGCCTTCAGGAGAAGTGCCAGACGAGGTCGCCGTTGAGTGCCCGGATCACCGTCCATGCAACTTTATGAAAGGCAAGCCCCAGAGCATATTAAGCCTCCTAATTTCCGAAATGCAGTTAAAGTATTATTGTTACATATATATATATATTGTTGCATTAAGTTTAGGTGTTGGATGCAAACACTTGCTGCATTGATTATCCAATCCTTGTCCAGATATTGATACTCTGAATCCTATGTAGTTCAAGTTCGTGTAGTGCTTAGCCCTGCTTAAACACGGTAGAAGTCAGGTGATTTCCTGTCACCTGCGAGATATAGGAAGATACAAATAGCACGGTTGGCTATATTTGCTATCATTGAAAAGAACCAGTCTTAATTTGAAATGAAGATCGGACGGAGGCTTGCCGGTTTGTAATGACTCCGTCTATGTCGCTTAAGGACTGAATCTTGGAGCCTTTTCTGTTCATGTTGAATGCATGCCTCTCTCTCAGTTGGCCGGGTCTGGAGACCGACCACGAAGCCGAGTAGCTCACCTCAGGCCGGGAGTCGATAAGTATAAAGTGTACCTTGGAAGGGAGCCATAGGCGTGAGTCCAAGGGCAGGTGATTTAAAAGTCCTGATCGTCCTGGCAGAAGGGTAATCCCTGAGAGTACTGGCGTTGATCGAACCCGCAAATTTGGTTCCTGAGTTGTTCCAAAGGTGACCCACGGCTATCCTTGCAAAGTATGCCAGGGTGAGAGTTAGGAATACCCCCTCAGCTGAGTTGTAATTCGATTCGAGTCGCCGTCTCTCCCGGTTAGTGAGAACTTGACGGGCTTATCTCCAAAGTAGATACACTAAATAACATAATGGTTCGGAAATGATGATATGATGATGACAGCCTTATTATACCTGCTATGGTTAATATTGATTACTCCTAATAAGTGAGTGCTCTAGTACAGGTGTTAATCTAGTGGACAGGTAAATGATGATAAGCTTGATGCTAAGTTTAAATTGGTCACTATATTCATAAGCTCTTTTATGCAAATATGTTAAGCTAGCCCACCTCTTAAGCCTTGCATGATCCTTGGTGTCTTTTATTTCTGGTTTTGTCGGGTAAGTCTAGCTGAGTATCTTCTCGTACTCAGGGTTTATCTCCCACCTGTTGCAGGTGACCAGTTCTACTTTGGTTGCTGCAAGTATTGCCTTCTCCCGGCCGGGGATAAAGACTAGACCGTTGGGCACGGTCTCTCCTAGTTCTCGTATCTGAAGATGCTTTTGTGGGACATGACTAAGATCTGGCAATGTATTTAAAACTATGAAGTTATGTACTAAACTATGTTGCTTCCGCAAATTTAAACTTGGTTTGTAGTATTTTATTTTGAACTCTGATGGATGTAATCCGAATGCTACTTGTGAAATGTTGTAACGAATGATGTGTTGTGTTGAATCACTACGGTCTTGGTTTGTATGTCAAGAGTTGGTTGAAATCCTTCGTGATTTCCGGACTACCGGGATTATGGGAGCTTAAGTGCAGAAATTTGATCGCTTCGGTGATTGTTTTGTACTTACGTTCTTATGATTTGGTCGGTTCTGTTACACCTGGTGCCAGGTGGCCACGGCCCTCGGCATCTGTAGCTCTACTTTTATGATACAGAAGATGAGGCCTTGTCACACATAGTCAAAAAGGTCTCCTGATCTTAGTATCAACCTCATCCGAAATATCCTTACAATTTTGCAGGATAACCTATATGTTCAATTATATCTTATTTCTTTATATTTGGGAATTAATTAATTATA